TGTATCTGTTCGTTACAAGTACAAAATAGCATTCGATAAACGGAAACTGGATTGTCGTCATCTAGCTGGATATTCCATAGGCTTTATATTTACCTCAGTGGCATGGACGAATTCTGCACTAGCCTTCCTCAGTAGCTAATGCAGTCAGACACTATGCCAGAATAAATTCCTTTTTCACACTCCAGTTGGTATGCTTTTTACATGAGAATGGGCGTGCCTTTGGAAGTGGGATACATGGTCGTCATTTACTCCCAACACAAGTGCACAGGCAGTTCGTGTTTGACCAGTTGCACTGTCAATTCTCTGGGTGGTCTGCGCTTCCATGAAGTGCGTATTTTCTGTATGTGTATGTTGACACACAAAATGCTTTTTAATCTCTCAGGCTGATTAGGGGGCTGGTTTTGGATCATGGTGCTCGTCATCCTGACATGAAGAAAAGAGTGGAAGATGCTTATATTCTTACTTGCAATGTATCTCTAGAATATGAGAAAACGTAAGTACACAGCAACAAGGTGAAGAGCGGAAAATGCTCCTGTCTTAGAAGACTTTTATTTAAGGTGTGTCTAAATAAGAACCAGAAGGACTGCATAGACTCTTCTAGAGCGAGGCAGGTAGTGTAGAAGGTGGAATGGAAGAGGTGATGCTCCTTCTGCAGTCTGTTCTTGGAAAGGGGAAGCTGGTGGCTGAGAAAATGTCTTTGTCAGGCAGAGCTTCGTAGTCGTTTTTATTTTGTTGTTTCATTGAAGAAAGGCTGGAAGTCCTTCCTTTCTTAGGCATAATCTTATATTCTAGAGCAAACATCTAAATATACTTCAGAGTTCGCTCAGTTTCAAATGGACGAGCTCTGAACTAGAGAGCAGGAAACAGCTACATGTTGCATGCTGGTTGGGGGGGGGGTCTTGTTTGTTCCGATTGTTTTATTTTATTTTTTTAGAATGTAGCTGAAGGGATTGATTCCTTATGCTTAAGTTTATTTCTACAGCACAGAGGATAGTTAGTTACTGCTTTTTTGGTTTGTTTTTTTTTTCCTCCTTCAGAGAGGTGAGCTCTGGATTCTTCTATAAAAGTGCTGAAGAGAGAGAGAAGCTAGTGAAAGCAGAAAGAAAGTTCATTGAAGACAGAGTGAACAAAATCATAGACTTGAAAAGAAGAGTCTGTGGCGATTCAGATAAAGGATTTATTGTGATCAACCAGAAGGTGAGATGAAGGGTATAACTAACTAGAAAAATTAATTTGAAATGCTGGCTTTCTTGGCAAGCCGTGTGCTGTTTGACTCACTTTGTACAGTTCTTCAGAAATAGCTAAATTTAGGCTGATGTACTTTTGAATATATGCATACAGTTCCTTCTTGAGATCTTTGAGCCCTGAGGAAGAACTTACTCATTAGTATCAGACTAAGGGAGGGTGTTTTTAGCTTTTCCTTTATACTCATGGTCACTTTTCTTTGTTTCTAGGGAATTGACCCATTTTCCTTGGATGCACTTGCAAAAGAAGGAATAGTTGCTTTGCGGAGAGCTAAAAGGAGGAACATGGAAAGGTCAGTTCCTGGGGAGAGGAGGGGGTAAGATAACTTGCTCTTTCAAACTCGAACAATGAGTCAAGTCTGGCTTGAATCCACCTTCAAGGACCTGTGCTAAAAAGTCCACTTCAATCTGTCCAGCTCTTACAGGTGTAACTCAGGGTAGTTTGTACAAACCATAGAAATGTCAGTTCAGCACATGGAGTAATGCAGGAATTTGAGCTATCGATATGCTTCAGATGTTGACACCTATAGAGGAGACTTAATTGTACAAGCTTATTTTTGTGAAGAGGTCTTCCATGAACAGAAACAAACTTGTTCCAAGCCTAGGAAGTGCAGTGTTCTGCGTGCTGAAATGCTGTTATGTTAGTGACTTCAGATTTTACTTAATATAAAGCAAGTGCTAAGCTGTATTTGTTCTCTGTCAGACTGACCCTTGCATGTGGCGGTACTGCCATGAACTCTGTGGAGGATCTCACTCCTGACTGTCTGGGACACGCAGGGCTTGTCTATGAGTATACACTGGTGAGTAGGACTAAGCTTTCAGCTGAAGCCAGGTTAAATACACCTCACTTGATGCCAGCTCTTCTTTTGTCTTGGTATGTCCGTGCATGGATTTTTCTTCAGTGTTTTAAGAGCTACACTGGAGCATGAATAAAGGCTGGAGGCATTTCACATCCCAGTGTGCACTTGTATGTGAACGTCTACCTGGTTATTTGCTCTTGTCATAGTGTGTTTTCCTGTTGTTATTTCCATATTATGCTTTTAATACCTGTAAAATTGAGAAAACGGAAACAAGGTTCTGCTGCTTCTCATCACTTCTTGAAGTGCTGTTAGTGCAGAACTGAATCTGAAAGTGTCCAATTTTTTTAATTACTTGTGTATGTTGATTAAGCAAATGTATGACATGAACACATAACCCTGTTCTACAGGGTGAAGAGAAATACACCTTTATTGAGAAATGTGACAACCCCCGCTCTGTTACCCTGTTGATCAGGGGACCGAATAAGCATACGCTCACACAAATCAAGGATGCAGTAAGAGATGGTCTGCGTGCTGTTAAAAATGCTATTGAGGATGGTAAGTCTCAGCTCTGTTTAGTGATGTTAAGGATCTTCTGTTGAAACTCATCTCAAAATCAGCAAATTTTGTATCAGCTTCCTTGGTATCTGATGCAGTCAGACACCAAGCTAAGTGTATTTCAGTGTGAAGTGCTTTTAGTTACTGTTCTGACACCTTGTGTTCTACAAGTGGTTGATAACTGTGTAAGTACTTACCTGATCAGATCACAGATACAAGCTGTCTTTTTAAGGATGAGGGGAAGAGATGAAACTACACTAAAAATTAACTGTTTAAATAGGAGTAGGTGCTTGTTGTGAAGTCTCAGTGTGGAGTTTTCCCTTGCAGGATGTGTGGTTCCAGGAGCAGGTGCACTAGAAGTGGCAGTAGCTAATGCTCTTGTTAAGCATAAACCTAATGTAAAAGGAAGAGCCCAGCTTGGAGTTCAAGCTTTTGCTGATGCTCTGCTCATCATTCCTAAGGTATAAGGGACTCCTGAATAAAGTGGCTTTAAAGCATGCTGTGACCCATTGCTTTTTCTGCTGGAGGTCTCTTCTAATTAACAACATGAAATAATGTCTCTGTTCTCTCAAAGGTTCTCGCTCAGAACTCTGGTTACGATCCCCAGGAAACACTAGTGAAGGTTCAGACGGAACATGCAGAATCGGGGCAACTCACTGGAGTTGATCTGAACACTGGTAAGAATCTTCTAAAATAACGGGATGATGCTCTAGTAAGAAACTGTCGTGGCTCAGCTCCATGAAGAATAAAGTTGCTCTGAATGCAGAAAGCGGTACCCTTTTTCATAACAAGCTATGCGGAATGCCTTGGCAGGTGTCCTGTGCTGTGGGCAGTCTTGGCATGCTGTAGTACTTAAACGCATTCTGGTTAAGTTTTTTCTGTGAAGACAAAGCACACGGTTAACACTGCGTTGGATGTTGCAAGTAATATCAGGTGTTAGAGAGCGGGAAGTCTTACTTTTGAATTATGTGAACTGGTTATTCAAAGACTGTTTTACTTTGTAGGTGAGCCAATGGTAGCTGCAGCGGCTGGAATCTGGGATAATTACAATGTCAAAAAGCAACTGCTTCATTCATGGTAAATGTTACAGTATTTTCACTTTAAATACCGATGGGTGTTTGATCGTTGAAATTGATAGAGTAATATGGAATCGAGGGATCCCGCATAGAGGAAGCTGTCTTGAAAGGCAGAAATGAAGCTGAGGTGGCTTTGAACTACGTTGAAAAGGATATTCTAACAATATTTATTTAATATTTCTAGCACGGTGATCGCTAGCAACATTCTCTTGGTGGATGAAATTATGCGAGCTGGAATGTCCTCTCTTAAAGGCTGAGTTGGGTCTGCCGTCGTCGACGGTGGTCAGCTCCGGGAGTGCCCCATGGAATGTCTTTAAGAAATCCACCCGAAGGCGCTCTTTCCTTAGCCGTAGTGGGTTTGCCCAGCAACGGAAGTTACTCTGCTGTAACGAGCAGCCCCTCTTTAGTAAATGTGGCCACTCAAAATATTAGCAACTCTTCAAATATTTGGCTCTAAAAATCAGTTATTTATTTTTAATTTCACTGAAGTGTACAACTGAAGTTGCTTTCCTTTTTACCCAATAAACTGTTACGTTCTGTGCTTTACGTGTGTCGGTTATTTAAAACTTTACCTTTCTTGGGCCAAGCTCTTGAACATTGTGCTCGCAGCCTTTGTCGCCAGCGGTGGGCTACAGGCCTTGATTTGCAGTTTCTGGCTCCCGCCTCTGCGTGCTGGACTTCATTATTGACTCTGATACTGGCCATGGCAGGAGGGCTGTGAAAATGCTGCTCAAGGCTCCGCTTCTAGCATGGTGTGGAATTTGGTCAGTCCAGGGTAAAGCTGGATTAAGCCAATCGCTTTGTAGTTCTGTGCTTGCTCACAGATAGAACTGAGGAATTAACGTACTCCTTCCCTCTTCACAGGTGGCTGGCTGAATGACTAGAAAAGCAACTTTTTTTTAAAAAAAAAAACAACACCTCCTTCTCAAGACTTTCTGTTCCAAACGGCCTGCTGAGGTTCCTTTAAATAAATGAAAACAAATAGTCCCAGCTATCTGGGCTGCACTAAAGAAGCTCATCCTCCGAGTGATTTGTAGTGCTGAAAAGGTTTATCTCCTTCACTAAAAAGATTATCAAAGTTCACTTGTAAATGCACATGTATATTTTATTTCTCAAAGATTACCAGTTTTTTTCTTATCCCCACATTGTCCTGCTGGGAACAGGTGGCAGAACTCCTGGCACCAAAGCAGTCTCAAAATGTATACTAAACAGGGATAATTTGTTGTTGTTGTCTTAATGATCAAAAGCAAACCAAGGGCCCGGAAACACTTCCCCGAGCCCGCAGCTCTTCTGGGTCAAAGCCCTGCGGTTCCGCCGGCGATTGGCTTTGCTCTCCCCGGAGCTCCTGCCGCTGCCCGGCATGGCTCCCGGGGGCCGGGGGCTGGCTCTCCTGCTGTGCTGCTGGGTGCTGGGCAGCGGCCGCGCTCCGCGGGGTGAGTGCGTGAGCTGGCGCTGCTTTCGCCGGTCCTTCTGCCTCGGCTTGTCGCAGGGAAGCCGTGAAAATCGCTTTGCTTCTCCCCGCACAGGTTCCCTTTCTTCTAATCGCAGCAAACCATTAATTTAAAGGAGCCGCCTTGCTGATTTCACCTGACTGGAGCGGTTCCTTTCCCAAGAGGGACACTGAAAATGTGACTTTAAAATGTTTTAAGCTTGTTATCAAAAAAATGCGGACCTATATAAATGCTAATCACAGTCACTTACTACATTGCACCCTACCTCCAGTGCATGAAGTGACTTTCTGGCAAGTAACGCGTGCTGTCCTGCGCGGTCATGTTTAAAAATTAAAGTTCTTGTACCAAATTTCTTCACTTTTAGCATTTGGAAAGGATGAAAACATGGTGCAGCTGCCTGGGGGCAAGTTTCAGATGGGATCCAGTTCCCTGGAGAAGAGGAATGAAGAGGGGCCCGTCAGGGAGGTGACGGTGAAGCCATTTGCTATCGACAAATATCCCGTCACAAACAGGGATTTCAGGTAAGAGTGAAGTTTGGGGTCTGTTTGGCTCGCGGGGTCTCAGCAGCTCAGGGACGGTGCAGGTGATGGTGCTGGGTCTTTTGGGGCTGGTTGGGTCTGAAAGCCAATGCTTGGATTCTCCCAGCAGTTTCATTAGAACAAAAAAATGTGTCTCTCAGTAATAGATCACCTCTATGGGTGCGGCCTGAAGCATCTTGCCAGTGTAGCTTGCAAACATGCTTCCTTTCCTCTCCTTTCCTCTCCTTTCCTCTCCTTTCCTCTCCTTTCCTCTCCTTTCCTCTCCTCTCCTTTCCTCTCCTTTCCTTTCCTTTCCTCTCCTTTCCTCTCCTTTCCTCTCCTTTCCTCTCCTTGCAAACATGCTTTTTTGTCTGTCTGTCTTTTTCTTACTAATAGGGCTGTACTGTCTCAGATTTCAGGTTCCTATAGGTTCAATTTCCATTTGTAAATACAGCACCACTCCTCCATGTATTTTACAGAAGCCCTTGTACAGAGCACTAATAAATGCACTGGGGGAGATGCCTTTCTTTGCCTGGCTGAGCCCTTGCCGGTTAAAAAGAGCCAATACTTCCACCCACCGCTAAGTGCCCAGCCACACACAGTAACGGCAATTGCTGCAACTTGGGCAATGGGGAAACAAATGGGACAGAAGCAGGGTGAGATTATTCAGCAGTATGTGACCTTTTTTTGCATTTTGGGGACATGTAACTAACAGCAGCCATAGGTTTTAGTGACTTGGAGGGATTTTTGATCTGTGCAAAATTACATTTTGTGGAAGACCAGGGTGCAGGATGAGTTCACCTGCATAGGTAACATAAAAACTATCAGATCTGTGAACAGATGCAAATTGGACTGTTTTATCTGTTAAATCTGTATCAGACCAACTGGAGCTCTGCCGGGGAGGAGCCGGGACTCTCCGCAGATGGGGTGTCTGTAGGTCGTGTACGTTTTGCCTTGCTCTGAACTTGTTGCGTGTGCAGATCGCTGTATTTGGTGGTGCGACTCTTGAAGAACTCTTACCCAGATGCCTGAGCGTGTTGTATTTATGCCAGGGAGTTTGTTAGAGAAAAGAAATACAAAACAGAAGCAGAAGCATTTGGCTGGAGCTTTGTCTTTGAGGATTTCTTATCCGAAGAGCTGAAAAAAAAAGTCACCCAAAAACTGGAGGTAAATCTAAATCCCATGGGGATGAGTTTCAGTGATGATGATGGAGATGGTATTTCTGATCACATCCCTGTCTGACCTCTCTGTTTTAAGTAAAAAAACCCCAGGAGGGGAGACCCTTGCTGGTATTGCTTTTCCACTGAGTAGCAGCTATGTCTCAGTGCAGAGTCTGGCCATTCTCAGTGGTTTTTCTTTAGTCTTGGGTGGTTTTGCTTTTGAAATGAACAGCAGGGTTGAGCCTGGGTCGATTTATGGCGTTCCTCTGCTTACATCCTCTCCAAACACTGTCAGACTGGACTCATGAGATGCTCCAGTGATCTGGGAGAGAGCAAAGCGCATTTCAAAGTACTTTATTAATCAAACCTTGAAATAGAAAAAACTAAACAGCATGGGCTTCTTGATCTATTTTCACTCGTAAAAGCAGAGGCCTCTACTCTGTTGGAAAGCACTATCAAAATGCCCGTGATAACCCAGCTCAAACTACAGCATTTAACCATTTCCAGACTAACAAGCCCTCTTGTTTACACACGCTGCTGTAGGATCGCGTCGGGGGGGTGTTGCCAGTTCAGCTTTAATCTGGTGTCGTTTCTTTTCCCAGTCTGCCCCTTGGTGGCTGCCCATCGAGAAGGCTTTTTGGCGACAGGTGAGTAAAAACCCGGTGCGGTGAGTCCTCTCTGTGCTGGGAGTGTGCATGTGTTAGTGTGTGCTGAACCTTATCGACCAAAAATGGGGGAAAAAAAAAATAGCATCTCCAGTTGCTGCATGTTCCCTGCCTTGGTCTGTTCTGTCCTTTATTCCCTTTTTAATTGAAAAATTTATAAAATCAATTAAAATCTGTTCAGTGCAATTCTTCCCAGCCCTCAGGTCCTGGCTCCAGCATAAAGGACAGGCTGGATTACCCAGTGCTGCACGTGAGCTGGAACGACGCGCAGGCATTCTGCGCCTGGAAAGGGAAGAGGCTCCCGGTGGAGGAGGAGTGGGAATTTGCTGCCAGGGGAGGACTAGAGCGTATGTACGACAAGCTCTGACCTTTTTGCAAACGGAGGCATCGAGTAATGTTAGTTCTACCAGATCTAAACCTCCATCCAGGGATGTTTTCAGAGGTTAATCTGGGGGGCTGAATCACCTCTTTTGGCCTGGGAGTCAAATTAATAATAATACTAATAAATAATAATAATATAGGAAGAAGAAGTGGTTTATCTATGGTCTTAATGTATCTTCCTAAACAAAGCACTTCTGCCAGCTAAAAATACCATTTCTTGGGTTTCGGGGCAAGGAGTGACCCACTTGCCCCCACACATTGATGGTGGCATAAAGCAGCTCCTGGGATCACTGGGGGGACCGCGGGACTCCCTGGCGTGAGCGATGGTTTGTAAATGGGAAGCTGTTGCTGATTCCCATCTCTCCTCGCCTCCTTGGCAGTGTCTCTAGGGATTAGACCAACTAGCCCCGTTCATATAACCCCTCTCGGTGTCCTGAGCTGAGCAGAAAAGGATGGTCATAAAAGCCAGGGGTAATGGGTGTCTCTTCCTCTTTGGCAGAAAGGGTGTATCCCTGGGGAAACAAGTTTCAGCCAAACCGTACAAATCTGTGGCAGGTAAGATCCTAAAAATCATCCTGTCTGTGCTGAGCTCTTCTGAGGAGGGTAGTGTTTAACTCGACCACAGAGTGTGCGTGGCTGCCTGAGCAGGCTGCGTGGTCCCGGGAAGCAATGCAGACTTTCCTACAGGCTGCTGAAATTCAGCTCCTGGTGGGTTATCTGAAATACCCTTAGAGGGAGCGGTCTCAGCCCAGCTTTCCTGGGAAACCAGGATTTCAGTGCTTCCAAAAATTCATACGTAACCAAAAAATCATACGTAAATTTGTTTGAAAAGGGGGTTGTCTTGGGAGAACTTCAGATGGTTGATCTCCTCGCTCAGCCAGAAATGCTGCGTAGAGTTAATTTGCAATGGAGAGTTATTTCTATTATTTAAGTGTAACGCAGTCCTGTGAAGAGCAGGACTTTGTGTCGTCTCCGCGGTGGGTCTTTGCTCGGAGTGATCTTTCTTCCCACAGGGCGATTTCCCGAGGGGTGACACGGCTGAAGACGGTTATCACGGCGTCTCGCCGGTGGCAGCGTTCCCTCCTCAGAACAACTATGGTACAGAGCAGACATCCCCATCCTGGCTTCGGGGATGGCATCTGCTTCCTAATAACTATTCAACGCTAATTACAAAATCCCGTCATTGTAGCAAGGTTTCAGATATGACATAGGATCACGTCAGCATCTTGACAGAATAACCGAGCCCAGCAAAAGCACTGATGGTTGTTACTGAAGTTGGCGGACGTGCACCTAAGTGCACTTCAATGCACCAAACCGTCCCCTGCTTTTAATTAGCAGTCAGTTATTTTGCACTTCCATGTGATTTACCTGCAAATCCCAAGCGTGTTGTTTTGAGGGCAGCGGATGCCGTGCCCTCACGCAGGTGGGAAACAGTGAGACACATTTAAATGAGAGATTTGCTGAAGGTTGAGTTGTAAACGGGGGCCAGTTTGCAATACAGTAAAGAGCTTCTGGTTCCTAGTCTCACCATTAAACCATGCTCTTGCAGTGATGCTTTGAATGTTGTTCCCCCCTCCCATACATCAAAGTGCTTTTGCAGCCCTTGCAAATGTGCTCTCATAATCCTGATGCAAAACCGTCCGTGTCTCAGGGCTCTACGACCTGCTGGGAAACACCTGGGAGTGGACCGCGTCGGAGTACCTGACTCCGGGGCTCTCATCGAGGCAGCGCGCTCAGAACATGCAGGTCCTGAGAGGTGCCTCGTGGATTGACACTGCAGATGGGTCTGCAAATCATAAAGCTCGTGTTACTACCAGGTAGGTCTGGGCAATGCCCAGGCGCTGTTTCGCAGTGATTTCTTCTGGCTTGGTTTTATTTGGAAGGGGGTTTTATTGTAAAAGAGATTTGTTTGTTCCTACTCAATTTTTCTGAGAAACAGTTAGGAAAACATACTACAAATACTGCTAAAAATTTTGGTGCTATAAATACGTTCCTAATTGCTTCTCAAATCACATGTATTTTCCATCAAGTATTTAGAATTAAATGCTTTTCTTGAAGTTATTCAAGGGGAGTGGAAGATGTTTCTAGTCTGTTACAGAGGGTCACATTAAAGGATGTAAACGTTAACTAGGAATGATCCCTAACTTTGGGTCTCTTTTTCCCCGTGAGAATGGGGAACACGCCGGACTCAGCCTCTGACAACCTCAGCTTCCGCTGTGCTGCTGACGTCCCGCCCATCATGGCCAAGAAAAGCCGGACCAAACCTGAGCTCTGAAGAGGTCGTTCAGGAAGACCTGAAGGCATTTTCTCCTGTGGAGACGAACAGTAACCCCCAGCAGTCACTTTCATCAGGACAGTTTTAAAAATTAAAATGAAATACTTTCAGCTAAAACTCCTTTCCGCACTGGGATGTCTGGGCATGAGCAGGGATTGGGAATGGCAGGCAGGGCGTTTTGTCTTTAATGTCCTCTTGCTGTAGCAGATATTACAGCTCTCCTTTCAGTGTCTGTTTTAAATAAGCAAAGGGGTGCGTGTGTGTGGGACCAGGCCAGAGCTGCTCTGACCTCCAGCCCCAGCCAGAGGGAGCAAACACCCGCAGCCCCGCCGTGAGCACCGGCATGGGGCTGCCGTGAGGGGCAGCTGCAGGGGGGGAGCAATGGGGGCATGTCCCTGGAAGGGGGGACTTATATATTGGTCCAGCTTCATACCAGCCTCTGAGCCTTCCCAGAATTGAAAGAAGGCGCCTTTATTGACCCTTAAACAGTGGCAAAACCATGTGTGTGCTCATTTCTAAGTGCATAGATGACACAAACCAGTGACCCACCTCTCCCAGGTGTTATAGCCAGCATAAGGGCTACAAAACGGCTTTCCACAAGCTCTGCCGCCAAAGCCCTGAGCACAGGGATGGGTGAGGACACCCCTCCGGGGCACTGCTCATCCCTCCTCCACCTGTGACTGCCCCAAAAGAGTCCAGCTCCAGGGCTGAGCTGAGCCTTCCCTAAACAGCTCTGCTGCTCTGAGCACATCAGGAGCAGCAGCTGGTTATGGCTCTATTAGAGGCAGCTTCTACAAACCCATCCCTTACAATGGGACATAGGATCATTAAAGCTGGAAAAGACGTCCAAGATCATCAAGTCCAACTGTCAACCCAACACCACCATGCCCACTAAACCATGTCCCTAAGCGCCTCATCTACACGTCTTTTAAATACTTTCAGGGATGGGGACTCAACCACTTCCCTGGGCAGCCTGCTCCAATGTTTAACCACTCTTTCAGTAAAGAAATTTCTCCTCATGTCCAATCTAAACCTCCCCTGGGCACAACTTGAGGCCATTTCCTCTCGTCCTAAAGCATAGCCTGGGAGCAAACCGCAGCCGTCTGCTGGGTTTGCATTGGCACCTGACCCGAGGCCAGCTGTATCTCTTTAAGAAAATGCGAAAGAAATCACCAGTTGGTTTTCAAATATTTTATTCACCTTAAGTCTGAGCAAACTCATCGGCTTATGCAGCGGCAGTCAGAACAGCCCTTCCTCAGCTGCCAGGGTCAGCAAAATGGCCTTGCAGGTATTCTCGAAGAGGGCAGCTCTGTTCTGCGCCTCCCCCTTCTTCACCCAGTGCCGGTAGGTCCTGAAGGCGCAGGCATCGATCAGCTTGCGGATGGGCTTCAGTGCATACGGGTCCCGCACCACCAGCTCCCTGGTGACTGACTTGACCAGCCGGTACTGGTAGTAAATACGGACCGATGCCAGGACGGTCAGGCAGATCACCTGCAGCACAGGGGGGGAACAGGCTGGAATTTGTGGCCAGTCCTACAATGGGACCGGATTGGCCCCAACACATCCCACATGGCTGCTATCCGTGTGGAGGACTCAGGAAGGGAGCCTGGCTCCTGGCACAGGTATTTAGTCCTGTGTGAGCAGTACAGGCTTTTTCCAAGTGTGCCCTTAACATCAAAACTATGGGTCAGTCCTAAATGCGTCACCTAATGCTACTTTGGGTACCTTTGAGCTGCCCTAATGGCTGGCTGTAGGGAAGGGAAAGGATTCCTCTATCAACTTTCACACCATTTGATGCACCCATGTGATGTCAGGCTCATTGATTTCCCCTTGGAGGTGATTTTTTTTTCCTTTTTAATCATTTGTGGGGGAGGCAGGCTTTTCCCTTTTCTTATTTAATCCTCTTCTGTGAAAAAGCCCTTAGGAAGTACCAGAAAGTAAGCGAAACAGTGCTTGGAGAAGGGTCCCCACCCCGGCTGCCGCATCCTGCCAAAGCCCAGGTCCGTCAGCCTTCTTGAACTCCCAGTTTCTCCCAGCTCAGCTGCGAAACCCACCCCACCATTCATCTCCTGCAGCTCCCAGGCTCAGGGTTGGGATGCTGAGACACCCCCATACCCAATCTCACCTTGAATTTCCGGAAGGGGCTGAAGTGCCGGACCTCTTCCACATCGTACTGCTGGAAGAAGGGGTGGGCCAGTGCCTCACCAGCCGTGTATCGCTGCCGCGGGTCCACCACCAGGAACCGGGAGATCTGCACCAGGGCATTAGATTGACCTGGGGTGTCCCAGGTGTCTGCAAAACCCGCCTCCCAAAGGTTTTCCCATCCCCGAGCACCTACCAGGTCCTTGATGGTGTCCGAGCGGTCGTCCCACTCTGGGGACCCAAACTGGTAGTCCCCGTTCATTATCATCCGCAGCATCAGCATCTGCTTGCGGTGCCAGAAGGGAGGCGAGCCGGCCAGCAAGGTGTACATGATCACCCCGGTGCTCCACCTGCAGGCAGCCCAGTGGGACCCTCCAGCCCCGGGCAGCACCCCAAGGGCACCCGGCCAGATCCACGCCCCAAGGGTGGCTTGGTGCCTCCCCCCAACCAGGGCACGCTGCACTTTGCCACCCTGGGAAACCAGGAGGACGCTGCCCTGCGTGGTGTCTGACGAGGGAGGCTGAGCTCACTGCTGAGGCTCGTTAGCCCTGATGGGTAATAAGAAGCAGGGGCTGCCCTGCTGCTGGGGAGGGGCTTCAGGATTTTGAGTTGAATTGATGTAGAGCTGCTCTCCTGGATGCTGCAGGAGGAAGCTGTGAGTTGGAGGTGTTTGCCTTTCTTGTTTTTTTTAGGGAGGGAGAGGATGCGGAAGGGTGGGATGTGGTGGGACATGGTGGTGTCAGCAAGGCTGGGAGCTTTGGGGCTGTCTCAGTTCAGACTGTGGTGTGCAAAGTGTCCTGGCATGGGGCTTAATGGAGATATTTAAACTGAAAAGGGGCTGAAATGCCCTGGTGTGTCTCAAGTGGTTGGTTATAGCTCTGACCACTGCAGACCTGAGCCCAAAGCCACCCGAAATGGTGGCAAAGTCCCTGCAGGGCTCAGACTGAGCTCTGATGGGCTTTCCTGAGCTGGCTGCTCTCTTGAGGGCTGCCTCCAGCTCATGTCTCACCATGGAGTGTGTTTATAAAGCCCTGTGTCTTGGATTCCAGCCTGAGTTGATTTTTATGAGCAGAAAGTGTTGCTTTCCCCCCTCCCTGATGGGGCAAAGTGGGGAGATGGCCCCCCATGGCCCCTGAGGGCATTTTTCAGAGCATAATTTAATTCCTTCCAAACACTCAAATTGGTTCCCATCTGCACAACTCTTGCCGTGCCTCAAACCACGCGTGTTTTGGGAGCAGCCTGAGGGGCGAGGTAGGAAGGCAGATGTCTCACTCACATATCAACCTCTTTGCCGTAGCCTTGGTGCTCGTCGTCCATGGAGCACTGCAGGATCTCGGGGGCCAGGTAACCAGGCGTGCCGCAGATCTCTGCAAAGATAGGGTAGAGCATCCCCCTGAGCCACCCAGGAGGGTTCGTGCCGTCCCCATCCACCCCTGAGCAGTCAATGAGGGGGTCTGGATCCCAGGTGGGATCTTCGCAGTGATAGTGCTCACCGGGAGTAGCTGCAACTTGTGTGCATCTCACTGGTGACTTTTCTTGGTGGATTATAAGGGCTAAAATGTGCGTGAAGAGAGAGATGGGGATGCCAGTGCGGGGGGATGCCTGCTGTTGGTTATGTGGCTCTTCATAGGGTAGGAGTGGGAAAAAACCTTAATGTTGGGCAGTAAATGGATGGGGTAATGATGGTCAGCTGGAGGGGAAAAAAGTGGAAAGAATAGGATGGTTTTCCTAATGGGCAGCAACTTCTTCACGGCAGGGAGTGAGGTGTGGAGGCTGTGCCGCAGGCAGAGCCAGGCTCGCACGTGAGCAGGAGGGCACCCCAAGCCAACAGGCAGCAATTTGCACCAGTGGCAGTAAGACTGGCCCCAAGGAGACAGTGGGGCTGGAGAGACTCCACTGACTCCCCGTGGGCACTACAGCAATGGGGTGGCCACGGGCAAGCCCAGCATCGCCCCCGCCTCGCCATCCTCCTACCTTTGAGCTTCTCATTCTCGCGCAGCTGGCAGGAGAAGCCGAAGTCTGTCAGCTTAATGTTCATGTTGTCATCCAGGAGGATGTTTTCTGGCTTCAGGTCCCGGTGGACGATGTTGATGGAGTGGAGGTACTGGATCACTTCCAGCAGCGCACGCATGATCTTCCTGGGGATGGGTGACAGCATCTCTCCTAGCCCGAATGCCCACCGGCACCGTGCTCCCAGGGATGGGGACGGGGACAAGGACCGTGCAGCTCAGTCCCTGTGTCTGAGCGCAGGGGCACAGCCTGGGGTGCTGTTTTGCCCATGGGAGCTGTGCTGGCTGCAAGGTCGTCGTTCGAACCTGCGCTCTGCTTTTGCAACATGACTTTCAGCCATCTGCATCTGGCCTTACCTGGTTTCCTTCTCGCTCAAGGTGACTTTCTCAGTGAGGTAGTCGAAGAGCTCCCCTCTCTTCATCCTGCACACGGGAGGGAAAATGGAGGCAGGCAGCAGCTGAGTTGCAATGGCAAACCGGCCCTGAGCCCTTGGGGAGGATTGCCCAGGGGTTGCTGCCCCTTAACAGCCCCAGGGCACCCATTGCACAAAATGACAAGCCAGCTTGTTAATAAAAAGGGGTAAAAATGCCTCTATACTGCTGCAAAACATCAGGCAAGAGGAGGAAAGGCTGTCCCTGGAGAGGGCGGGTTTCGGATGGGACAGGGACAGGGCTCTCCTGGTGCCATCCCCCTCCAGGGCAGCACGATGGAGGTCAGCAGTGTCAGGAGTCATGGTGTCACATGTGCCCTGGTCCTGCTGGGCATATAAATAACCTGCAGGGATGCGTGATGGCTCCCACCAAAGGTTACGGGGAAACCTGAGTAGCGCTGAGCTGCTGACGGATGGGAAACGCTGCCGACGGCAAGGCTGCAACGAGCTGGCTTGCAGCAATCAAGGCTTGTTTCTACCTTAAGCAAGAGCTGGTTGTCCCCCCTGCTTTGCCCTGTTTGGGC